TCATTGCCTGAAATGTTTCTCCTATATGGGGATACCAAAAGTTATTAAAACTGATAATGGATCTGGATATATTAATAAAGCTTTTTATCAGTTTTGCTCTCAATAGCAAACTGAATATTTTAAAAAAGGTATTTCTTATGAACCTCAAAGACAAGTATTTTTGAATGAGCCTATGGCAGTCTAAAATTGCAACTTCAAAAATAAAAATAAATAAATAAAACCAGGGGGAGTTATACTCCCAGTTACTACATAATGTTTTAAATCTTGTTTTAAATTTTTTAAATGTGGATGCTGCTGGAAAATCTGCAGCTGATCGATTTTGGCATGAAGGCATCACCACAAAATTTGCTCAAGTTAAATGTAAAGATACTTGTTCTGGCTTATGGAAGGGTCCCAACCCTGTTTTAATATGGGGATGAGGGCATGTTTATGTTTTTTCACAGGATGAAAATGAAACTCGTTGGTTGCCTAAAAGATTGGTGCGATGTATGGAGCAGAGAGATGCTAATCCTGATGTTGCTGATGACCATCCAGAGATGCCAGAGTGAAACCTATTGGGCCTATGTTCCTGATCCACCAATTTTACATCCTGAAACTTGGAAAGGAAAAGAATTGTGGTTGCAATTAATGATACCAGGCTTTTAGATCCACCTGCCACCCAAGAGTTCCAGATTGCTCACAATATTCTTATATTGGATATTGGTAAAAGGATTCCTATATATTCTGAAAAAAAATATTACTTTGGAGGGATGTCTTGGATTGCTTCCTCAAAGTAATTGGATAAGTAATATTTCACCCTCTCAACAATTTCCTCCATGCACAAAAGAACTGCAAGAGTCTAACAGAACTTTGCTATGAAGATGATATACTGGCATTGTTCCTTTAAAGTATAACATCATGGGGACACAGCAGTATATTCCTAATTGGTCCAGAAATCAGGACGATTACAGAAGAATCTTGGGACCAAGGACTGTCTGCTGGAATTTAGTATTCCAGTACTGGATCCCCACAAATTTATGTTTGGAAACTTGCTGCTGCCATGGAAACAGTGGCAGGAAATTCCAGTTGCTTGAAACCTGTTTGTCTTTTGAAAGGAATTGTTTTAGCTTGTGTTAAAATGAGCTATGATCTTTTAGTTGGTGATGCAAATATTTCAATGAATGATTCTATGTTTGATATATCATGTCTTAATTGCATTTTAACCAATCATATTTCTCAAATGGATAGCCATACTCATGTAATAATGTTAAAACAACCCTCTTTTGTAATATTGTCAGTATATATGAGTGAATCATGATTAAAGTTTACAAGTGATTTAAGAAATCAAGAAAGCTTTAAGCAACAGAAGCATGTTGCTGGATTAGTTATAGCAGGAATCGCAGCTCTTGTTACTATGCTTGCTACTACTACTGTTGCTTCAATGCATTTGTCTCAATCCATCCAGACAACAGGGTTTGTTAATCAATTGTCTATGAATGTTACTATGACCTTAGAGACTCAAGAAGGTATAGATGTGAAAATGGAACAGAAATTGAATGTTTTGTATGATGTGGTACAATTTTTGGGAGATGAACTCCAAAGCCTGAAAACTAGAGTACATTTGAAATGTCATGCTAATTATGAGTGGATTTCTGTTACATCTTCTGTGTATAAAGAAAGTGCTATTGGATGGAAAAGGGTTAAGGCACATCTTAAAGGAATTTGGCATAATTCTAATGAATCTTTAGATTTGGCTAAATTATATCAGGAGATTATAGAAATGAAAAAGGCTAAATTGGATCTTAATGCAGCTAAAACCGCACAAGATATTTTAGAACAATTTAAAAGGGCTATCCAATCATGCTTATCATTTACTTAGCTCTTAAGCAGTGTTGTAGCTATTGGATCATGTGTCTTAGTAGGTACAATCTGTTTGCCTATGATTTTCAAGTTGATTTTGAACTCCTTATGGAGATTGGACTTGGAAATCCACTGAGTGAGTAAAACTCCACACATTCCTCTGGCTTGACACAAGAGGCCTCGGAGCCAAAGA